TTTTTCTCCCACAGATCTGAACGTTATTACTGTTAATCCGAGATTGTTTTTGTCAGGTATAACGAAATTGGGTAGATCTAACTTTCAGAAAAACCTAGGAAGCTGCCGTGAGAGTGTCGGCACCTTTTCTCTGGGTATGGAATCTCGTCTTTTCAGTTTCCTGTGGTCTGAACGACTTGATTTATAATGTTGTTGCTAATTGAGAATATATCAGGTTCGGGGATGAGGAAATCACGCAGTTGGACCTCCCTTAAAACTCTGTCATCAACCAAAGCCGCTTCCTCCGGTATGGAATTTCCCTTCAAATTCTTATTCGATATGAAATTTATTCTTTACGATCACGCAGTTTGTTGCTCGCTCTTGTCAGTTTTAATTTTGTTGTAAGTGTTACATATATTATCTCATTATCTGGATTCCCTTCAGTTTCATGTCCCGTCTAACCAACAGAGTTCTGGAATTGATTTTGGTTGCTGACATTGGTCGTTGTTCTGGTTAACTAATAGTGTTCCATTATTGCTCTATCTACTCTGTGTTGCTTATTATTTCGATTTTGTGCAATTAGGTTGTAATAATCAAGTCACTCTTAGGTAGGTAGGTCAGATTTGTTCCTAGAATACTTACTATATGGCAATTTAAGTGATCCAATGGTGATTGAAATCCTACTTCCCAGAATTGATTATGAAGGTTATTATTGTTTGAGGATGTACTGTTTTATTGTTCTAATTTGGAATGATTATGATTCGGTTTTTCGATAGAATTGTGGGCCTTGGATCATAATTAAAAAAGGATAAACCGAGTCCACGGTAGGTTATATGCGATTTAAAATTTTGTAACGAGACAAATAACCTCAGATTTGCAAAACCGAGCCATGGAGATGTCTTGTACGGAGGTGGAATATTTGGAAAACCTTGCGACATCCTTTGTAAATCTCGGGCGCCCTCCCACCACAGGTATGAATATGAACTCTCGTTGAAATATCTTTGATTTCGAACGAGGCTGTCTTCTCTCTCTCTCTAGGATCTGATTTTTTTCTCCCACAGATCTGAACGTTATTGCTGTTAATCCGAGATTGTTTTTGTCAGGTATAACGAAATTGGGTAGATCTAACTTTCAGAAAAACCTAGCAAGCTGCCGTGAGAGTGTCGGCACCTTTTCTCTGGGTATGGAATCTCGTCTTTTCAGTTTCCTCCTGTGGTCTGAAACGACTTGATTTATAATGTTGTTGCTAATTGAGAATATATCAGGTTCGGGGATGAGGAAATCACGCAGTTGGACCTCCCTTAAAACTCTGTCATCAACCAAAGCCGCTTCTGCCGGTATGAAATTTCCCTTCAAATTCTTATTTGGTATGAAATTTATTCTTTACGATCACACAGTTTGTTGCTCGCTCTTGTCAGTTTTAATTTTGTTGTTAGTGTTACATATATGATCTCATTATCTGGATTCCCTTCAGTTTCATGACCCGTCTATAACCAACAGAGTTCTGGAATTGATTTTGTTGATTTTTGGTTGCTGACATTGGTCGTCTAACCAATAGTGTTCCAATATTGCTTTCTCTACTCTGTGGTGCTTATTATTTCGAATTTGTGCAATTAGGTTGTAATAATGAAGTCACTCTTAGGTAGGTAGGTCAGATTTGTTCCTAGAATACTTACTATATGGCAATCTAAGTGATCCAATGGTGATTGATATCCTACTTCCTAGAATTGATTAATATTGTTTGAGGATGTACTGTTTTATTAATGTTGTAATTATTTAACTGAACAGGAAACAACAAGGTGGACAGCAAACTAGTACCCTCCTCCTATATTCCACAGGTTCCAAGAGAAGTGGTGGTACCCCCATTCGTTCCACCACCCAATCCAATTTTTAGTTTCCCTGACACAGCCAAAGACAAATGGCAACCTCAGACAGAGCCAAAGACAAAAGCCAAAGACACAGCCAAATACAAAAGCCCCCCTTTTATCTCCTGTATTATTTGTTTTAGGACTCACATGAATAGGGTCTGCCCTTATGAAAGGATTTTGCCGCAAGGGGCTGAGTTTAACCGGGTTTACTTCACAGCAGTTTGCGCCTTTGATGACGCTGGTCAATTTGATGAGGAGAAGTGGGCTTGTACTTGGTGTCATAGGAAAGTAGCCAAAGTTAGGGGCAAGAACTGTTGGATTTGCAGTGGAAGACACTGCTCCTATGAATGCCCTGAGGACGTGGTGAAAGCTGCCCAGTTTATGGCCTTGCGATTGTATGATCTTGCATTTCCGCAGAAGTGGGTTCCCTATAAAGATTACCTGGCCGAAAGAGCATTGTCAAAGAAACAAACTTCTTGAGACAATCGTCTTAATGCCACATGCATCAGAAAACAAGGCAACCTTTTTTGAGTTACTTGGTATCTGTAATTGAAGCTAATGTGTTGTTAGATTGTAATTAGGGTAATTTAACTTTCTGAAGTCTTCATCAACCTTGAGTGCTTAGTATCCGTGGGATATTTAGATGTTTATTAATAATGGATCTCTGAAACTGCATTTTATATGTTGTATGCTTGTATTACTATTATTTGTCTTGGTCATTGGTATTATAATTTTCTGATTGAGTACCACTATTATGAAAATGTCCAACGGAATTATACATTAATATTACATTCAAACGATATATAAACTCAATTAAATGACAAATAAAAAAAAAAAATCTTCATTTATCATCGATAATGTGCACATTGATCGTAATGAAAAACATATATAATTAATTGATGTAGCGCAGCGTCGAACAAAAGGGAATAAAGAGAAGAAATCTCTTGAACAATAATTTTATTTCACGATAAACTGTTTTTCATCAGCAAGAAGAAGAGAATAAATAGTCTCCCAATCCTAGGTCTCCTAAACATCCTAAATAAGGGAATAATACTTAAATAAATATTTAATAAAACATGGAATATAAATAAAAGGTAGGAAATAAATAACTAGACTAAAGAAGGCATCCGGTCGTATTTCTGCATAAACGCCAATGCGATCTCGTCTCCATCATCCTCCCTCGGTTGGGAAGGATTCGCCCTCGAATCCGGATCGATCTCGTCTGCGTCCGAATTGTCACCCGCAAATGGCACGAGATGCTTAACATTGAACACATCAGAGGTCCGCAAGTGCGAAGGAAGCCGGAGGCGATAGGCATTTGGATTGATCTTCTCAACTATCTCAACCGGGCCAATCTTACGAGCCGCTAACTTGTTGTATTCATGCGCCGAGAAACGGTCCTTGGTGAGGACAGCCCACACAAAATCCCCAACCTCGAACTCGACGTGACGTCGACGGGAATCCGCCCGCCGCTTATACGCCGCCGTGACTTCCTCTAGACGGGCCCGGGCCGCTTCCTGAGTCCGCCGGAGATCGACCATGAAGTCCTCGGCACGGCGGTCGGCGCTCTCGGAAGAAGGAAGGGCAATGAGGTCAGCGGCCCCCCGCGGTCGCGCCGCGTAGACTACCTCAAAAGGAGAGAACCCAGTAGCTCTACTCAAAGCCGAATTGTGAGCAAACTCGGCC